CCAGAAAAAGAGAACGGTCCTGAAGAAGACTGCAGCCTCATTGGGTTTGGACATGAGCTCAAGTAAAAATATTCCTTGAGCTCATCCTACAGTATGGGAGAATATATTTGTAAACAATTTATCCAATAAGGGGTTAACATCCAAAATATATGAAGAACTCATATGCCTCAACACCCAAAAAACAAATAGCCTGATTAAAAAATGGGTGGAAGATCTGAACAGACACTTCTCCAAAGAAGCAATTCATATGGCCAACAGGCACATGAAAAGATGATCCACACTGCTAATCATCAGGGAAATTGAAATGAAAGCCACAATGAGATGTCACCTCACACCAGTTAGGATGGCCAACATCCAAAAGACAAGAAACAACAAATGCTGGCGAGGATATGGAGAAAGCAGAACCCTCCTACACTGTTGGTCGGAATGTAAATTGTTCAACTGTTGTGGAAAGCAATGTGGAGGTTCCTCAAAAAACTAAGAATAGAAATATCATTTGACCCAGTAATTCCACTCCTAGGAATTTAGCCAAAGAAAACAAGATCCCTGATTTGAAAAGACATATCCACCCTTATATTTATCTCCCTACTAAGATATGGAAGCAACCTAAGTGTTCATCAATAGATGAATGGATAAAGAAGAGGTGGTACATATACACAATGGAATATTATTCAGCCATAAAAAGAAAAGAAATCCTGCCATTTGCAACAAGATAGATGGAGCTAGAGGGTATTATGCTCAGTGAAATAAGCCAGGTGGAGGAAGACAATAATACTAAATGAGTTTACTCATTTGTCGAGTATAGAAACAAAGCAAAACTGAAGGAACAAAATAGCAGCAGACTCACAGACACTGAGAAGGAACTAGTGGTTAGCAAAGGGGAGGGGTTGGGAAGGGTGGGTGGGAAGGGAGAAGGGGATTAAGGGACACAATAATTTGCAATCACAATATAGATAGGTCACAGGGAAGGCAGTACAGCACAGAGAAGACAAGTAATGACTCTATAACATCTTACGACTTTATAGACAGTAACTGCAATGGAGAGGGTGAGGACTTGACATGGGTAAATATTGAAACCACTGTGTTGTTTATGTGAACCATCATTAGGATTGTGTATCAATGATACTTTAATAAAAAAATAAGTAAAATAAAATACATCCTAGTATACTCTCTGGTGTACAGTAGGTGTTTAATAAGTACTTATGGAAAAAATTATATATATTAAAAATATATGTATATATTCATTGAGCTTAACCATAGTTCTGAATCTCTTAGGATGTCAGGGTAACCAATCTCAGAGCAATTTCTCTTTGATCTCCTACTGTGCAAGTGAAAACCTATGCTCTTTTGGCTTGGGATTTTGACTTTTTTGTTTCCTCAGGATGCAATGTGACAAGTAAGAAGAATGATGTTATTTACAGCTTAAAAAGAAGACTCTCATAGTATTTGTGGTAGTAAGATCTTGCTTATTTGTTTGATCATTCTTTTCCCTCCTTTTTCTCTTTGTTATGAGTGCATACTATGTGCTAAGCATTATACTAGGTGACTTTAAATGCACTATCATTTAATGATCTTGAAATTTGTAATATCAAAACAATATTTTGAGAGCTTCCACTTTTCTGGCAATAGTGGACAAAGTACATTAACAACTCCTCTGAACACAAACAACAACAGCTGCTGGATAAAATATTTTAAAAGTCTTTGTAACTATCAATTTGCTGGGTAGATAGTAGATAATATTTAGATCAAAACCAAGAGATGTAAGAGACTTAGGGATGCTTAAGGAGAGCTCTGAAACAAGCATTGCATTGAAGGTATTTGCCAAATTTTGGTGAATTTAAGCTTGCCTTCTCACAGGTTCTTAGCACTTCAGATACAGGAGACAAAGTCCAGAACCTATACAAGGGGTGGAGTTTAGCAGGAGACCCTAAGTAAAGCTGAGGCATAAACGGGTTAAAGCTTCAATGTATGGTTAAACTAGAATAAAACTTCATCGCCCATCATGTGCATTTGGGACTGAGAAAAATGTCTCTCTCTAAACTTGACACTGAGTGGACATGATATTCTTTTTTTTTTAACTCAGAGTAAGGCAAATATATTGGATCATTTTGTAATGAAAACAAAAATAAGAAACACACTCACAACAATAAAATATTTTCTCAACAGGGGAAAGTGACGATCCTTTCATAGTCTTTGTTTCATCCAGCAACCTAAGAGGACAAAAACATCACAGAAAGTGAAAAACACTGTGGAATTCATTCTAAGACTTCCTCATAAAAAGACATGACAACGATCTTACTGGATTTTGAAAAGAAGTCTTTCATGCCAGAGACATCTCCTTCATTGAAAGACAGTATCACATTAAGGATTATCTTAGCAAAAATAATGTTGGTTGACATTTCATGGACCCCAGCTGTGGAAATAGTTTTTGTGTCTGGTTGAAGGGGCACATTTCAAAAGCAGTGAGCAGTCACCCTCTAATTATAACCAGGCTTGAATCCTGACCATGGAGTTGACTGGTGAAAGGTACACAGTAAGAATTCTGCAAGCTTGTTGGCATCCTGATCTTCACTGATCTGATGTCCATTTTTGTTCTTTTCTTTTTAAAAAATTGAGGTATAATTGACATATAACATTAAATTAGTTTCAGGTGTTCACCATGATAATTCAATCTTTATATAATTGTGAAATGATCACTGCAATAAGTCTAGTTAATGTCTGTCTATGTTTGTAGCTCCAAATCATACAAACTGGGTAGACAGAAAACCATCCTACCCCTACTTGCTGTCCTCCAGGTCTCCTTCATCTTTGGGAAGATTCTCCCTCCCTATTTCTTTGTCTCTTCCAAATGCTGTGTGACAAGAAAGGAGAATATCACTAGGACATGTTACAAATTAAAATCTCAAAATACACTTGACATCTGTATACTTATGCTTTCCTTTTTTTCCCTTGTCCTTTTTCACGGCATGCTTCTTATGTGCCAAACACCTGCTAGTGCCTTTAAATACACCATCATTTATTTTGCAAAACAATCCAATGAAAACTCAAATTTCTGGCGTTGTAGGCAGCTGGGTGCCTTGACTGAAGCGTCAGATGGCACAGCCTCAGTAGGACCAGCCCAAGTGGGGACTCTTGCAGTAGATCCTCATGTAAATCTGAAACATTTAGGGAGAGTGTAAACTAAAAATAAACCCACCCTTCCTCTAAAGAAATGAAAGTCCACCTAGTTAAAGATTCCATTTCCCAGTCTGTATTGCAGCTTTTTGTAGTTTTTGTAGCTGTATGACTGTATTCTGGCTTATGGTATGTAAGCAGACAATAATCCTTCATGATTAAAAAACTAAATAGAATTAAAATATTTAATAACATTAGGATATGAGTCTAGAGATGGGTAATAAGAATTAAAGTGTTCCAAAGTCCTTATATTATTTTGAAGGACAGTAAAAATATTAATTACATATAGACTTTGATAAGTTACAGACTTAATAACTTATTAATTACATATAGACTCTGATAAGTATGCATATAAAACAATTTTAGGGTAACCTCCAAAAGGTGGAATTTGGGTTTGAATTCAGGACCTCCACCTCCAAATAGTCTAGAGGAATATTTTATTCTATAAGAATAAAAAAGGTCTGCTAGTGTGCTCTTGGCTTTTCAGTTGTAGAATAGGATTGCTGGGAGTCCAGGAACCAAACTGTCACTGAGCAATGGCATCTCAGCCTCCGGACCTGCTCATCACAGTAGCTAGACAGAGCCACGTCTAAGCCTTTCCCAGCCCATTACTTCCTGCCTCTCAGACTCCCAAGCCCTTTCATGTCTCCAGCCACCTCCTGCTTGCCAACTTCTTTCTAACAGGTCTTACATGTTGGGGGTAGTCATTCACCTACAAATAGACTGAGATATCGCTTCCTCCATGAAAGCTTCTCCTCCTTGACAGGGGAGTGGAGACAGCTGACTTCATCATATGGACTGTGCATTGGAACTCCCATCAATCCCACCCCCTCGCCCTGCCTTCCCTATGATCTCCCAAAACCCTCTGCTCATTTGGGTCTGTTCAGTAATGCTCATCTAGGTGACTTGTGTGTCCTTTCTGCTGCTACATCTATGCCCAGACCCAAATGGAAGCTCCTAGAGGACTCAGACTATATACCTCCCTCCCCCAGACAGACTTGAAGCTCCCCAATGTGGTACCTGTGGGATACTCTTTTGGGAGGCACTTCATGAAGCATCTGAAGGATGAGAAGGAACATCTGAAGGATCCCAGGGTGAAAACAGTCCTATAGATTCCTCTTCAAGCAAACAAGACAGGGTTCCTGTGGTTGGGGGTCAGAAGGGGGCCCTGTACCACTCCTTTACCCTCTAGGAGTCTGACAGGTGACTTGCTCTTTACTTTCAACATTCTCCCAGTGCCCTCAACCCCCATGCTGCAGAGACCCCAGGCTTTATTAAAGTCTGTATCTCTCCCTTGCCCTGTTCATTCAATGTGCATTGCTGAGTGCCTATCGCATACCCAGCAATGCTCCATCTGTTCTCTGCTTGTAATCCAGGAACTCAGGTCCCTAGTGACTACTCTTTTTTGAGTCTCATATTTCTGTATGCTTGAGAGGGGTGGGGGTCCCAGTCCCTTAGCTCAGCCCATTCGGGCTCCCTCCGTGTTAAAGGAAGCACACAGGACTTCCTGACAGGGAAACAGTCTTGGGCTTGAACAAGTTTCTGGCCCCATCTCTGCCCCAAAGGGTGGGTCCCTTCCACTCTGACAACCTTGATCTTCTCATGCCATTTTACTTCCTGCTCCAGCCAGCCCAGTGCCCTGCCTAGCGTGAACATGTCATTCTCCGTTCTCACCTTCCTCTTGACCCCTAGTCCTTCCCAGGCTCCGTATAGTTTCGTTACCTGCTCACAGCTGACCGAAGAACAAGTCAACTTCCTAACTCCTCCCCAGCCCATATGAGGTTATAAAGAGTCCTGCTGCTCTTCCACAACAAAGGAAGAGGCAACACCATTGCACGGAAGAAGCTTAAAGAATCCAGGCTTCTGGCCTCCCACCCCAAGAACACACACTCAGGAGACCCAAGCTCCTGGGAGCTGTATCTCTTCACCTTGAGCTCTCCTTTCTCAAGAATCCTGTTCTTTGCCTTCTAGGTCTTGGCCACATCTGGGATCCAGGCATCTTGCTTTCCAGCCACAAAGAGGCAGATCAAAATGCAGAAAGGAAACATTCACCTTAAGTACTGGTTACTATTGCATCTCCTACTTTTAGAGACTGGTGAGTTATTTCTTTAAAAGTGGGTGGTCTGAGAACTTTCAAGGGATTACAAGAGATGGTGACCACTACTAGGACTAGCTGTGGTTCCTCTCCATAGAGGGAGAATCATCATTTTCCAACAGTAGTTTCAGTCTAATAAGGTATCACCCAGGAGGCAGTCAGATCACAGTGGTTAAGGCTGAGGGCTGGTCTCAGATTGTCTGATGGACCATGGCTCTATCTCTTCCCATGCACTTTGGGTGAGTTGTTTAACTTCTTTGGATCTCAGTTTTTGCATCCATAAGATGACAAAAACCTGTGTAATGTGACTGGAGGTTTAAATATTAAAACAAGAAAAGTTGACTGCTATTTAAAAATATCACTCTTCTATATTCTACAAACTTCATTTCTCTTCTGTCACTAAACCTGATTCTTGTTAGCCTCAGAGTAAGGAGAATAGGATTCAAGAGTTAAAACTGACTCCCACTCTGTTTCCACACCCTTGACTCTCTGAAACACCTCTTGGGCCATCTCCCATTAGACAGCTGGATAGCATGACTTCTTAGAGAATTCATAATTTAATCAAAATTAGCCCTCCTATGACTTTGACTCATCTATTCTGTTCTCCAAAACTTCTCAGATCAAATCTATTCCATCTTTCACTTGTCACCCCTGTTCTTGGTCACCTCAGTTTCTTATTTAGTTTGCTCATGATTCTGACCTTAACCTCAATTTGTAACCCATTGCAGATTTTTAGGGGCCTTCCCAAAATAGACTGAAACTCTAGTCTTATGTTAGTTCAAATAAGCCTGAGGAAAATACACACACATGTGTGCTGAGGTGATAGGCACTCCTGTTCCAGTTTGCAGTAAAATGAGCCACACATAAGATAAATTTTATTTAGGCTGAGTATCTGTGTCCTTCAGGATAGTGAGGGGCAAAAAATAGGCACAACCTTAACTCCAGCTGAGCCTCCAGGAAGGCAGAAAAGCTTCCCTTTATCTGTACGTCTTTATTTACAGCCCTTAATCCTGGGAGATCTTATACATTTAAATTACACATAACTGCTTCTTCCCCAGCCTCTGCCATAGTGATCAGGAGACCTGGAACTTTAATGTGTGTGGAATCACCCAGCCTCTTGCTGAAGATGCAGACACCAAGGCCCCATCTCAAACTCTGATTCGTTTAGTCTGGAGTGATTTGCCTAGGAATCTTCTCCACAAGCTCCCCAGATAATTCTGACGTAGGCATTTTCTGAATAACACTCTGAGAAATATTTTCCAAGAAGAGAGATTACCTTTAAGAATGAATTAATCAATATATACTAGTTTTACCTAGGTTCTACAATTCCTTTGATACTTTTTGCTTGTATTGAATCTTGTATAGCAGAATATAGAGTAAACTTACTATCAGTGAAACTAGGTCTTATAACTGTGGTGTTGGGAGTGGGTGGGAAGGGTGACTTAGCATGGTAGCTAAATGTGCAGATTTAATAGCCTGGGTTCAAATTCCTGTCCTGTTACCTACTAGCTGTATAAACTTGGGCAAGCATCAGCATTTCTAAGCCTTGATTTTCTTCATCTTAGTGGATGGTAATAATATCTATTTCATAGGGCTATAGTGAGCACTAAGTAGAATTATCCATGTATGAATTTAACCAAACATTGAGCAGGAAGTATATATGCTCAATATATATTTGTCATCATTTATGATTACCATCAGGTATAACCCTCAGTAATAACACATCTGCCAGCACTGGATCCAGCATGATATTCAGTGGGACCAGCACAACCTCTGACCCTGGACCCAGCGCATTCCCCAGTGAGACCAGCACAGCCTGTGACCCTGGACCCAGCATGTGCCCCAGTGGGATCAGCACAGCCTGTGACCCTGGCCCCAGCATGTACCCCAGTGGGACCAGCACAGCCTCTGACCCTGGACCCAGCATGTCCCCCAGTACTGGCTCTGGTGCAATGACAGGAGGCTCTGTACCTTTCTCAACGGGAACACACACAACTTCCAACAGAATTAGCACTACTAATGCTACTATTGCAGTGAATGGAGCGAAGCCCAGTGGGTCCCTGAAGCCATGGGAAATCTTCCTCATCACTCTTGTCTCAATTGTAGTGGTCATGGGGTTCTCTGCCGGGCTCTTCTTCTGTGTGGTGAGTGTCTAGTATGTGGGAAAGTGTGGAGGAAGAAGCGGCAGGAACATAGGGAAATGGGGCATGGATAATAAGGCGACCAGCTGGGGGTAGGTAGGGAGGAAAGAAAGATCAGCAGAGAGTTACTAAAGTGAAATAGCAAGTTGGAGCCAGAGAAGCCTATCGATGTGCAGGGGAAACTATTGACTTGTGGGGAAAGGGGACCAAAAGGTGGAATAAAGGCTGGAGGAAGAAGTAGTAGGTGAGGGAGATGGTCTGAAGGGGAGAAGATTCCAGAAGGAATCCATGGTTACGGCTTCTGAGAAAGGGGTACAATTCTGAAGTGATTCACTCTTCTTTTTCTAGAGAAACTTCCTGTCCCTGAGAAACATCTTTGACATGACTGTCTACCACCCCCATGGCCCCAACTTTGGCCTGGGCCCTGGAGGGAACCATGGAGTCAACCATAGGCCAAGGTGGAGCCCTAACTCTTTCTGGAGGAGACCAGAATCCTCAGTAGACATGGAGATGAGGAGATACAATGGGCCCTGAGCATCCGCTGAAACCAGAGTACCACAGTCTTGGTGGAAGAAGCCAACCTGGGAGACTAGAAACCTGAGTGTCCTCTCATTCATCCCCAGGAGTCCCCTCTCAGCTTTGTCTGGGACTCTGACAGCCTCAGGGAAGACAGTGCCTCCAACTCTCTATTACCAGACACTGGAAAGAGGAGACTGTATTGGCCATTTAGTTAAGAATAAACATAGTCAAAATATATGACTGAGAGAACCAGACATGCACACAAGTGGGTGTCAGCAGCGCCATGTTGCATTTCCCGGTTTTGTGAGGGAGCCCCCTTCTTCAATCCACTTGGCATTCACAATCCCCACAGTGACATCCAGAGACCCCAGTCCTATCTTTCTCCTTCTCCTGATCCCTCTGGCCCCAAGCAGGACCCCTGTGTTTCTGAGACTCTCCCAGACTAACAAGAGAATGGAATTGAGAGAGACAGGAAGGGAGGATGCAGGATTCCAGGGACTCGTGATTAGGCCTGTGGTACACAGAGATTATGTCACGGCACACAGAGAACCTGGGGCCTGACAGGTGGAGAGCGGCAAGTAGGCATGCCGGGGAGGGGGTGCAGGGTGTGTGCACTCACACTCACAGTTTCTAGGGCATCGATGTTTGCTCCCGACCTGGGTGATTGTCAGAATGAAGGTGCTAGTTGACACTTTTCTCTCTGAGAGTTCCCTCCAGCCAAGAGAAAATGCTTCCTGTTTTACCAGGGAAAAGACTTTCTGGCTAAGGCCTAACCTTTCAAGAGGCTCATGTCAAAGACACCTGGGTAAAGCCTAAGAATCTCATGAATTCCCCTCCCAGAAGGGCTGCAGATTCCTTTCATGGGTCCAGGGGAAAAGGCTACCTGACCTACAGGTCTTGGAGGACACAAGGAAGCTGCTTTGAAGGTTACAATACTCCAGACCCAAAGGGCAGGGAGAGGACTGCCACCTGGGATAGAGTCCTCAGAAGAGAACTAACGTGTGTTGGAGGGTTCATCCCAACTCAGAGCACTGGAAACTGCTCTACTTTCCAACACTCACTGGGTTTCTCAAATGTCAGCACACCAAACAATTGATTCTAAATAATGAGGCCCTGCTGAGTCCCATGCAGACTCATCATTATCATCATCATCTCACTTAAAGAGATCCAGCAACCAGAAGGAGAAGCTGAGTTGAACACCCCTAAAAAGGTGCCCATCCCATGGTGTGACTGTGAGAAACATAATGTGGGAAACATGAAAATAAATGAGATCAGGCAAGGGAACCCATTTAGGTAACTAAAAATTTAAAAGCATGCATTTTCAAGTTTAAAACTGTAATAGACCAGTTGAAAGGCTGGCCATGGTTGAAAGTAAAATTAGTAATCTGGAAGAGCAAGTGTCAAAAACACCTCAATTACACACAATGATTTGGGGATGAAACTCACCCAGAAAATAGAATACCCCTGGAGCACAGATTCAGGAGGACTAACATGCAAGCAATAAGGTTGAAAACAGAGAAAAAAGGAAGAGGTGGATGACAGAAGTCAAAGAACAATAGAGAAGAAGATCTGAGTCTGCAGATTGAAAGGGTTCACTAACTACAGCTCTGTAAATACACTAAAAACACTGACTTATCTATTTAAAGCAGTGGATTATATGGTATGTAAATTCTGTCAATGAAGTTATCAAAATTTATTACCAGACATATCGTGTAAATAAAATTTTGATTTCTGAAGATAAAGAACAAATGACTCAAAGCAATGGGTGCTTTGAGATAGAGGAAGATGAAAGGGGAGAAAATCCTGGTGAGCAATTTAGCCTGTGATTAATCACACTGTCATGCTGTGAATACCTCAAGACTCAGAGCAGCTGGACCATTGTGGATAAAGTGAAGGTTCCTATGGCCAGGATTCTCACCTCGCCCTGGTGGGCTTACTCACTACAGATGTGTGGGCAATGCATTGCTACTGACTATGTAAAGAGCTCCACCAGTGCTCTGTGTGACACGGTGGCACAGCTGCAAGACTGCAGGCTGCTGGAGTGGTGGCAGCGCCGAGGACAGAGACTGAGATGGCTGTGGGGACAGAAAGGCCCAGAGGCAGAGACAGGCTTCTGCATGCAGACTCGCTCTAAGTAGACGGGATTCTAGTGACTGACGTGCCACCACAGGAGTAAACTTGGGTATAAACACTTTCACCCAAAGAATGTCCCATTGTCATTTTTCGATCTCACTGAATCCATAGTGAATTTTCCTGGGGCTGAAACCCATTGGCAAGACAACTGTTTATACAGAATTTGGAAGCATTATTACTCAACTTTGATCATGGAAGATACCTTCATGGACTACACATGTTTTAACTCCACAAAGCTCCAGCTCACCAAGCATGTTTGAGCCAAGCAGAAGTCCAGGAAGTAGACAGGGTTAAGGACTGCCCCTTCCAGACCACATGTTTTGCACCGCTGTTCTGCACAATGATCATCAAATGAACTCTGTCCTATACTTTTGGAGGTACATGAAGACTTCTAAAGAATGTTATACAGGTGTGGGGGGTGTTTTACAGGAATCATTTTCCAGATCTTCAACTTCTATATATATATATTTTGCTTAAAACTGATCTGCCTGAGAATACTTTCATGGTCAGAGCATCAAGCTAGTTATATTTTTCCAAGTCCTGTTTTATACTCAACCACTTTTTTATTTCTAGCTCCTATATTTTGAGGGTATTTCCCTTGGGTGCAGAAAACCCTGGGGTGCAAATAGAGGGATAACTCAAAATTCTCTTCTCATTTAGATCTCATACATATAGAGTAGGGCTTCAGTTTTCCCCTGCTCATATAAATTCCTGCTAGGGACAATGGAGTGTAACAAACTGTCAGTTCGGTACACATTAAGATATTAATTATTTGGATATATTATAGAATGAGGTAGCAGAAGTTAAGAAAAATTTCTGTGTAACAATTGCTTCTTTTTCATCCCCTGTCAAAGAAGGCATCCCTTCTCAGGGCACATCTCGTGAAAGTAGAGAGATGACAGAATTGGTAAAAAAATAATGAAGGTGGCAGTGCCTTATGTACTCTAGGCAAAACCTTGGCCAAGTCAGCCCACCTTACCTGTCTATCTGTCGAATTTAGAATATTCGAGATTTGCAAAAATTTGCTGGGAAATAGCAACTTACCTGAAGCATGTTTCCCTGGCTTTTACAGCACTCTCTGCAAGGAGAAAGTACCTCATTTGCCAGTTTCCTCTTCTAGGCCACAGTTGTATATTTCACATGATTTCAAGAGAAAGACATTAGGAGTTCTGCACTTACTTCCAGCTGATCTATGTTATTTCTTAGGGTGAACGGAACATAGAAAGCCCTTACAGCATGTCAGACAAGAGCACACACTGTGAAACTAGAATTTCTGGTTTGAAATTTAAGCTCAGCATGCACACATTCCTTAATTCTCTCAGCCTCCATTTTCTCATCCATAAAAATGAGGATGATTACAATACCGACCTCATAAGGTTGCTGTGAAATGCTTAGAATAGTATTGCATTTCACAGCACTCTAGAAATGTTATTATCTTTTATATTGGGCAGGTTAATGTTTCACATTTTCATGAAAATATGGAAAAACATTGCATAGGAAAAACATTTACATTTAACTTTTCACAAAAAGGTTACTTGGGACTATAAAAAACAGAGTCTTACAAGTCAGAGGAAATGTTTTGAAAGCTTCTAAACAAATGTTTTGGTGCAGATAAGGACACTAGGATGATCAGTAAAAATCTTTCAGGCAGAAAAAATTGAATAATGTAGAATAACAGTGTAAAAAAAGTAGAATAATGTGGAGCAAGTGAAATGTTCACAAAGCAGAAGGAGCTATGTAAAACCCTGGGCTACTGAGGAAGAATTTGCTAATATGCTATTAACACATAATGGTGAGTCTTGACATGCTACAGTGTTTAGAGTCTGTTTGAAACATTTTAAAGAGGAGTAAAACTTTTATTATTCCAATGCCTATATTTACAATATAGTAGAATTACTTTCTTTACTATTATTAATTTGATTATGTTTATGATTTAAGCATTAAACATAAACAGATGAGAGAATACACAGTTTTTCTAAATTCTTTTTGAGAGTATATGAGCAGAAAAATGGAAGACCAATGCTCAAGTACATAAGGATATTTCCACACAAACTGTACTTTAACATGCTTAATGAAGTTTACACAACCTCATGAGAGACCTTCACCTCTCAGTCCAAGGATAGCTGCCACCATCATGGGGGCCGCCTGAAGGAAGATGGATCACAGGCATTGATCACACTGGCCTGTATGTCACAGGAAACCTTGTTTCTTTTGTTTTGTTTTGTTTATTTTATTTTATTATTATTACTATTTTATTTTTCATTAAGATATCATTGATGGCCAACAGACACATGAAAAGATGCTCCCTATCACTAATCATCAGGAAAATGCAAATTAAAACCACAATGAGATATCACCTCACACCTGTAAGGATGGCCAGCATCGAAAAGACTAAGAACAACAAATGCTGGCAAAGATGCAGGGAAAGGGGACCCTCCTACACTGCTGGTGGGAATGCAAGCTAGTTCAACCATTGTGGAAAGCAATATGGAGGTTCCTCAAAAATTTTTAAATAGAAATACCATTTGACCCGGGAATACCACTCCTCGGAATTTACCCAAAGAATACAACTTCTCAGATTCAAAAAGACATATGCACCCCTATGTTTATTGCAGCACTTTTTACAACAGCTAAGATATGGAAGCAACCTAAGGGTCTATCAATAGATGAATAGATAAAAAGGAGGTAGTACATATACACAATGAAATACTATTCTGCCATAAGAAAGAAACAAATCCTACCATTTGCAACAACATGGATGGAGCTGGAGGACATTGTCCTCAGTGAAATAAGCCAGGCAGAGAAAGACAAGTGCCAAATGATTTCCCTCATCTGTGGAATATAACAATGAAGCAAAACTGAAGGAACAAAACAGCAGCAGACTCACAGACTCCAAGAAGGGACTAGTGGTTGCCAAAGGGGAGGGATGTGGGAGGGTGGGTTGGGAGGGAGGGAGAAGGGGATTGAGGGGTATTATGTGTAGTACATCTGGTGTGGGGGATCACGGGGAGAGCAGGGTAGCACAGAGAAGGCAAATAGTGGATCTGTGGCATCTTGCTGCACTGATGGACAGTGACTGCATTGGGGTATGGGTGGGGACTCAATAATATG